GCGGTATTGTATACCTATTGCAAAGTTTCACAGTGGTGTCTGAATATGAATTTGTTGGGTGGACTACTACAGTCAGTTTGATGGAAGAGGGGAAGTTGTTAAAATCCTGGTGGAATTTCTTTAGATGTTATCAATGTACCTTAGGTATACTATATCGGGGGTGAGAGGACAGCTGCAGAGGAAGCAGACTTTAAGGTCTGTCTTAAATATATTGACATTGGCATGGGCACATGTATGGTCCTCCAGTGCGTTTCATGTATAGGTATAGAGAGTCTCCGTCTTCTGAAGTAGTTGTGTGTGAGGACAAAGCAGGAGAGTGCAGTGCAGACAGAAGCAGTGTCTTCATTGGGGATAATATTCTTTGACTTGTAATCTGTTCTCATGGATATTGGTGTGCAGAGGTGTGACATCCATGGTACCTAATATGGTGTTTGCTGGAAGCTTGTCAGTGAAGGCCACGTTTACTCAAATCTAAGATAACTTTGAATTTAAGATGATCCTACAATGACTAGATTCTTTGCATGGAAAATTTATAAATTTGTTATAATTTTTCATGTGTACCATCTGGTTGTTGGGGGATTGTTTTAAATTTATCCTGTCTACCTCTGGTGAGGAAAGCAGTGGTGGGGGGAATAGGCAACCTGACCCCCACCTTTTGCTCCCCTCGGTGCATGCCCCCCTGCCACCTGTCCTCTCTGCCACTTTTTCCCCCACCCCAACCATTTGTCTCCTCTGCTGCCTTTACTTCCCAAAGGAAATGGTAAAACATAAGAGTAATTTATGATTGGACAGGTTCACTGAAGAAAAATAGAAATATCTTAATTTTTTTCATTAAGAAGCAACTGCAATGCTATTTATTGTGTAACAAGATAACTTTTTGTGGTGACCTTCTTGGCTTCAGCAAAAAAGGGTCATTTTGTCTGCCTGCAATACAGAATTTCCAGAATACTAACTAGGGAACTCTGTCACTCTTAGTGTCCTCTGATATAGAGTATGGGCAGATGTAGTAGTATTATAGGTATTGAAGGATACTGGTATAAGCCGTTATGCTGCAACTGTTATTTGCATACTGTAGTTGTTTGCACCTTGTGCTTTCAGACTCAGTTAAAGCCTCTGCTCTTTTAATGATTTCGTTCAGCCTGTCAAATAAAACTTGATGTACACCTTCCCCGTGGGTTACATATACAACTGTTAGTAAGACAGTGGTGGCATTCTGGAGGCTAGGAGTTTTTGGTTTTAGTCCTGGGTGTGGGAGAAGGAATGTGGTTTAGTGGTAGCTGTAGGGTAACCTGAAAGGTAGTAAACCAAGTTGGCTCTGTCATTCATGCTCAAGTTCTAGATTCTGTTCTTGACTCTGCATATTGTGACCTTGTATAACCTTTGTAAAACTAAAGGATAGCTCATACTGACAGCTGTAGAATTGTATCCTTCGCAACAGGGGTGATCAGTTTATGGCAGGGGTGTCAAATGTATGGCTTTGGAGAGTCATGTCATTGGATTCATGTGGTTCCCAGCAGGGCCAAGGTGAGTTGGGGCAGGACCTTCTGCCAAACTCTGGGGTATGGAGACCTATTTGGAACATAGGATGGAAGTAAGGGGCAAGCAATGGCTGCATTAACACCTATAGCCACTGCTGGGGCTGGATCCAGCCTACAAGGAGCCCTGCAAGGTGCCTGAGGGGCCAGGTGAGTTTGACATCCCTGGTTTATGGAAATATAAACCAGTCAGTAGTTTTGAGATTTTAATTTATGAGTCATTGTCTCCTTTTTGAAATTGTAGAGTTGTCGCTCAGTTTATAAGGGTACGTGGTGAGGGAGTTACTGCATGACTGTCTTGCAACAGCCTTGATAAATACAGTGAAATTTAAATTTGTGCATTTCAGTTTTATATAGAAACAATTAACAATCAGGCTACAGACTTTTTTTATAACTCCTGTTGTATTAATCAGCATATGTTGTAGAACAGCACTAATTCTAGACTGCATTAATTGAGTTCAGTGGCATGCCTGAAAAAAGGTGAGGTGCTAGATTTAGTTGAAAGGTCATCTCCTTGGCTGCTGTGTATCAATCTAATTATCATTAAACCACCATAAAAAGACTTTTATAAATGACATGTTTAAATGCTCTTTTAAATAGGAAACTCCTATCCTTTTATCGTTATTTTCACTTTGAGAGACACTGTTAATGCCAGCAAAGGCTAACTCTTGTATTGTGTGGAATAAAAATTTGGCAAGCATCTATTTGTACAAAACAGAAGGTTTTAAGAAGGACAGGTAATGCATTTTGGTTAATAAGCTGTTCTTGGAATATATCTTTTCTTGTAAAAATATATTGCTTTTGGTGCGTAAAGGGACAAAAGCAGTTCAGCCTGCCTGCCTGAGAAATATGCTGCAAAAAAATTAAGCGATTTAGAAGAGAATTCTGAACACTGAATGCAAATGAGTTAGGGGTTATTTGGTGACAGCATTGTGAAATTAAATTCACTTTAGAACTAATAGAATATATTCCTTTCTTGAGCCAGCATGAAGTGAAATTACTTTGCAAATGAGTGGCATTTCATATTGTGCTCTAATGGCTTTCTTAGGAGGAACAACATCTGACTGAGTGGTCAGTGGGAGGATTGGTATATTTCAGCTTCCTTTGGCATGGAAATTCGAATCAGAAGCAGATACCGGGATCCAGTGAGAAATCCTATTTCCTGTTCTTGAAGGAAGAAGATGTATAGCAATGTTGACTGAGGATATAAAGGGTGAAAGAAGAGAAACGCTATGATGTGAGGGGAAAGATACTTTCAAGATTAAAGCATGTATATGAGAAGGAAGATTCATAAAGTTCAGCTGAGGCTAGGACACAAGAAATAGGAGTCAGTTGCTTTTTTGTGAATAGTTAAAAGGCAAGGATTATTTTAGGTTATTTCTCATAAAAACCATTAAAGAGAGAAACTATCAAGATAGACTAAAAGTTCTGTCTCTGACAGAGGCCTTTAGTTGGAGATATAATAGCTACAACAGTGGCAGCGTGCCCTCACCCCATGCGCAGATCCGGGTTCATGCACCCCCTATACCCTCCTGGGGTATGTGTAGCAGTGGGAGCTGCCTCTCCTCTCTTTGAATGAGTCATTCATAGCTCCATCTGACATTCTGCCCTAGCTGTGCAGTGACTGCCCCAGCCCCACTCCCTCACTGCCTGGGCTTTGATCTGTCCTCCCCGCCCCCCCCCCAATCCCTAACCCCACAACAGATTTACCAGCCAGATGCTGCTGTCCAAGCTGCGTAGCTGCATGTCGGCAGTCAAATCAGCCATCAGTATCTGCCCAAAAAATCTCTATCGGTGCACCCCTAAAAATAATAGAACATACTGAAAATCACAGAGGAGAAATATTGTCTTGTTTGTTTGGGGCCTTATCATATAAATGGTTTTGCATGTGCTTAAACTTTACCTGCATAAGTAGGGAAAACTTCCCCTTTAAGCTAAATATTCACCCTTTTGTTATACATAAAGATCAAACTTGGAAGCAAAACCTCCACCCATGCTCTTTAGGTTTTTTTCCCTTTATATGTCTTAGAGAAGATTTTAGAAATGAGACATGTCAGTATTATGTTGTTTGGCACATATCCATTAAACTTTGTAGGCTGCCTTTTTGTGCTTATTGTTAAATGTGCAACAGCAAGGAGGAAGAAATGTAACTTCTCCGCAACTCTAGTGATGAGGCAGTTTTCTTTTCCATAAGATTATCTGCAAACACTTTTTTTTCATGTCTTTCTTTAATAAGTTTTTACTCTTTAAGGAAGCAATTGTGTGACATTGAGGATACAGTTTGTAAATTTAAGTTGTGTTGAGCTGCAGTGCTCTAGTGAAGAGAATCTTCATAAATCCTTTAGTAAAGAGCCTTGAGGCCCCTACATGTGCATTTTGGCTAGCAACCTTCTCTTTAAGAAACAAATCCAAAATTAACACAGCTGTCTCTCATGGAGAGGTAACGGTAACTTGTGTTATGGAATTTCTTAGGAATGCAGTTATTCTGGATTCAGATTTGAGGTCAGGGCAAACAAAATAGCTAGTAATTTGGAACAGCAAACAGATTTTTTTCAGGGTTAAATGCAGTACTATTAAGGGTGTGAACTAAATGAGCTAATAAGTCTTCCTTATATGTAATTTCTTGATTCTTGGATGACTCTTAAATAAGAATGAAAATTATATGCCTTACTACCCTGATATTTTAAATATGGAGCAGTAATGAAAACTTCCTGTATTTTCTGATGTTAATGAAGAATTTAAAATATACTTGGCTTACAGTGTATTTGGAAAGATTGGCTTGTATTATTGGTCATTGTGACCATTATTTAAAATATCCTTTCCAAGTGTTATAAAATAATCCAGTAGGCATTTCTGTATATGAACTGAGTAGAACTGAGAACAAGACTGTTTTGTCTTTTCCCTTTTATTAGTCTGTACATGTAGTCAGCCAAATCCTGACTCCTTCCATAAATTCTTACTCAGATTTTATTCAAGCAGATTCACTTTGAAGTCAACAGAATGCATTAGGACTTCAAGATTAGATCCAATATTAATATAAACACGTGATTTGTTGGAATGAAATATAGTATTAGCAAATCTCTTTAACACAAATAGAAGGCTTTTTAATGCTTTCCTACTGTGTTGTGTATTAAAATAAAATGGTAAAAATATGACAGCTTTATGCAAGTTATATAAGTTACAGCCTTTGCAAACTAGCTGGGCAGAATAATTAGTGGCCTTTCTAAAAACTTAAAACGTTATGTAAAATGCTGTTTATCTTGGACTTTTAGTAGCAGTTACGTTACATACTTCGTTTTATAAACCACATGAGTGAGAGCTACAAACTTCAGTTTAACACCATACATCCAAAATGTAAGCCTAGCTGGGCTGGGAGATAATACCACTGAATGACTACAACAGCCAGAATATTTTAAACTTTTAATGCAAATGATCTGATTTTTGTTTTTCTCTTTTTCCCTTAAGGGGTCCGTTCAGTGTTGTGCGGAGATGTATCAACAGAGAAACTGGACAACAGTTTGCTGTGAAGATTGTCGATGTAGCAAAATTCACTTCAAGTCCTGGATTAAGTACAGAAGGTAAGGCAAGATTTTTAAAGTACACGCCTGTTTGTAAAGCAGTGTGCTTCTATACATTCATCCCAGTATCTGATTGCTAATTTTAAAGATCTTTTCTGATCTACGCTGGATATGAGAATAAACTAAATAGTTCCTGCATTGCACCTAGAAATAGCTACATTCTACTACATCTACTTAAAAATTAGTAGCTCCACAACTTCCTGGTTATAGAGCTGCAGACTAGGAAGAAAATTAGATCTTATGCTTCCTTGAATATTTTTTTGAAAAATGTTTTTGGCTAGCAGAAAAAAGTGTGTACCCAGAAAAGAAACTGCTAAGAACATTTTTATTACTTATATTATTTTTGTCAAATACAGGGCAGAATGAGCCCAGAATCCTTTCTGAAGCTTAGAACATCAGCTGTAAGGCTAGAAAAGAGTCCTGGCCTTTTGGTTGGTCTACCTTACAAAGTGACCCTTCAGTTTTTAACTAAGTACTTTCTCAGTTTCCTCTAAATTGGTTCATCATCTGCCAATTTTCTTTTCAAAACCTATTCCAGCGTGAAGAATTTAAACTGCACATTTTTGATGTATTCAAAGTGCTTTAGTATTTTCGTGACAGAACAAGACACCTTCACAGTATTCCTTGCAGATAGGGTAAAAGGCCAGGAAATAGCTCTCTAAAAACTGTTGAAATGGCTATTGAATTATATTAGGTCAAACTGTAAAGCTACTAGATTATTCTTATCCACTTATTCCACAAAGGATTCAGGAAACTTCCGTCACCACTTTGAAAAGCGTGCCATTCAGATCTTGCCAGGGCAACTGTGTTGTGATCCGTCCATGTTTTCACTTTAGTTGAGGCCTCAGTTGAAGTGCCACAGGCAGAGGACTATCACTTCCCATCTGGAACTGTTAATTCATCTTTCCCTGATGAAGCTGTATTTTTTACATCATAAAATTTAATCTCAGGCTACTGTAAAATGTTGCAAGACTTGTTGTGCAGACTAGCTAACATACTGAGATGGTCTACAGAAAAAATACAGAAATGCTTTGTTACCCTGGGCATCACAACATGAGGAAGACCTAATAATGTTAATCAATCAAAACTTTTTCAATCCAGCTAAATTACCCTAGCAGATGTCTGCCTTTCTGACACCAGCATGTCTAAGAGATCGGACTGAGCTTTTGAGTGCCTTTCTAGCTCATTAAGGATGTTTATACGTCCCCTTCACCCTCTGCTGTCCTTTTTATAATTTTGGTTAGTGAAAAGTCAAGGCAAAGCGATTACATAAAGCTTCAAAAGACAAGGACCACAGGGGCTAGGGATAGACATTACACATAAACCAGTTTAAGTGATCAAAAACTAGTTTAAACCTGTAACAGAACAGATGTTCAGTGCACATTAACCAGTTTGAAAATGGCTGTAACCAGTTTGAGATAAACCTGGTTGAATGTAGTATCAGACTGAAGTGGTTTGGCGTACACTGCTTTATGCAATGTCTGTTCCAGACCCCTTGATGGTTTCAGATAAACCACATGCCCCCAGCATCCTGACATGCTCTGTGGGCTGGGTGGGGCTCTCTGCTCCACAGCAGGGCTGGCCCCTCCCCTCTGCTCCCTGGCTGCAGCTCCGGCAGAGACTTGCAGGCTGCTCCCTCCCTCCCCCTCACCACTCCCTGCTAAGCAGGAATTCACCCCTCCCCTCTGCTTTGATGAGAGGTGTCTGTGTATTAGCTAGAAGACCACATGCTGGCTACAGTCCACGCTGAGTCAACAGGTAGAATCAACAGGTAGCTGGTAATGTCCCTCTTGTGTTCTTCATGGGGTGATAAACACTATTATTAATTCCCTGCTGGGCTAATCGGAGCATCCTGCTGGGGCCTGGCCACACCCCCCCCTCAACTCAACCCTTTGGAAGGGAAGGGAAGGCTGCTCTAGTGCCCCCCAGCTTCTAGCCTGAGCCACTACAGGCATGTGCCTGCATTTCTGGGATGTCTGTACAGTTACGAAGTGATTTAGCCTAGCCAGGTTAGACTAACCTGCAAAGATTGAATCAATTCAGGCTCAGGCTTTCTGAATGTCTGTACCTAGCCAAACTATTAGATTTGACTGAGGCTTTTAACTAAGAATTGCTGTCTTTATAGACTGTGGTGGTGAAGTAATGATTATATGACTTTGGATTCCATATATACAGCTGAAAAAACTTCCCCATAATAACAGTGAAGAGAAGTTGCTGATTTTATCAGTTGTCAGCCTGTTATCTTTACTTCCTTGTAAAGTAAGTAAGAATGCTGCAGTTACAACTTCCAGAGTTATTGCTAGTCAAGTTGCTATGAGAAGGTCTTCTTGGCTTTGGTTATCAGGGATTCATAAAGACATACAAATGAGGATCTTCATCCCTTTTCAAGAATTCCTCTCACAAATGTAACATTAGGGGGTGAAATAACCTCTAGATTTCAGACAAGTAGACAAAAGTACCTCAAGAACACAGCAGGAAGATGTTTTACTCATTACTTTCTGATGCCTAACAGGAAACAGGGCTAGGCTTAGCACTCTAATTTAGATTTTAGACCACTGACCATCATCTTCAAGCTCAAATTCAGAATGTTAAATCTGGCCTCAGTAACTCTAACCCTATATCAGCATAACTGGAGCATATAAGGATTCACCCTATGTACAAAAAGGATTTAAGACTTCAAGCATGCAGTCACACTAACCAGAACAGGTTACAAATATTCAGCCTATTGATAACAGCAAGGTTACTCATCAAATGGCTGGTCATGGCTACAGTTTACCTTAGGAAAGAAGGCGTATATACAGTTTACTGTGCTTGGAAAAATTACTTGTTCATGAAAAGTTACCTCTACCTGCAGCCAAGTTGCTACATTGGATTCTGCGACTTTTTGCTTTTCTGGCTTTAAAAGTAAGAAAGGAAAACAGTAGATTTTATAACAGTAGTATTAGACTCCCCAGTAAGTAGTCTGTTTGCTAGAACAAAGATCCAAGTCATTCTAGACCTGACCACCAAGTTATGGATTCATTCTAAGACACTGGTAAGGACTTGTCTCAAACTCCTGGGTCATATATCTGTATCTAAATAACTCAGTGTGCTTGATTATACTATTTCTGCATATCATGCATGCTTAGACACTTACATTTATTAGATATTTATTAGTGAAACAACAACAGTAAATCAGTGCGTTTTTCAAATTCTGCTTTTGAAGTTTTCCAGTACCCAGCAGAGACAATTAACGAGATGCAGTTTATTTGTTTAATAGGTACTAATCTAAGCATCTTATATTTGTTAAGGCCTACCTAAGTTTTTTTTGGACGGAGTAAAGTTTAACACTTAAATGATGACGTTAAGTTACTTGGCTTCCAAGCTTGTGCTGTGTTTATATAAAAGTAAAGGTCCATGTTTCACTGTCCTTAATCAAAGTTCTGTTTTCTTCTGTGTTTTATACTTGGTCAAGTGCATGGAAATACTGTTTTATTTTTCAGTCTGAGGGTTTGAGCGGTCTCCCTTTTTTCTCTGAATTGAAACGTGTGTGCACACATGCACACCATTTTAAAACATGTCCTCCTTTTCTGTACTAGAATATTTAAGTTGCTTGTGCTGAACAAAGTTCTGTTAAAGTCCAGATTACATTGAGTTTGTCTTAGTATGACATTCCCAAATTCTGAATGTAACTGATCATAAATCTTAGAAACATGATGAATTCTGTTTTGTTTGGCTAAAAGTCTTAAGTATGTTATTTAAAAGAATATTCTTGAGAGGAGTTCTGTATCTAGTGAGAGTTTATTTAATTTTAAGTAAGCTAATTCCTTATTTTCACGTGAACCAGTCCATTAGATAAATTGTTAATAAACTTATTTCTTTCACTAATGTTTTGTAGCATGGATGTTTTCTTGTTCATATGCACCAAAAAGATATTTTGCCTTCGGAGTAGAACTAAACCACAGTTGAGAGTGCAAATTTTGTTCTGTGCTTGTGTAGGGATTGATTAAAACCTTAAATCTTGCAGAATTTCTACTGAAAGAAGTTATGACTGAGTTGAGGCCTACTTGATTTCCCTAAGGAAAATAAAAATATGAATGAGCTGTTACACTGCTGTAGTTAGTAGGTCTAAACTTTCTCCCACTTTATTGTCAATTCAATTATTTTGAAGACTTTTATGTAGAAAGGTAATGTTGAACAGATACACATATAACATTACATATTTAAAGCATTTCTTTGAGGAACAGTCAGGGCCTATGAGAAGGGGTAATAGTGGTACAGTTGTACCAGATGGCGAAGGTCAGGTGTTCGCTCCAAATTTATGACAGTTGCAAGTAACTTGGGGGTAAATAAAGTAGAGGTATGATCTCTAGACATGTATTTCAAAACTTGTGAATTCAGTTTAGAATTCTACTAGAATTTTTTATTTCCTGATTCCAAAATGGGAGGTGGGAGGGACCCTCAAGTTTTTTCCCTCAGACCCTGGGGACATCCTTGTAAACTTGAGGATCAATAAAAAGCTATTTTGAATTTTTACATTTGTGTTTAGGATATGACCAGATATAAATTTAGCTCAGTATACATTTGGGTAAAAGAGAATTTGTATCTTACTGGAAAAAAAAAAAAAAAAAAAAAAAAAAAAAAAAAAAAAGTAATTTCAAAATTTAAACAGAAACATCGAATTAAATATTACTAACTTGTAATGATACCATGAGATTTCAGGAACAGTTTCCTTGCTGGGTGCTAATTACCTGATAAACTGTATACAGTAAAAGCTATGTTAACCAGCACTTTATTAGACGGAAAACTCTATTAACCAGCATCTGAGCGACGTGGCAAAAGCAAAACTGGAAGTATCACTTCCGGGAAACTTCCTATTTTGCTGCTGCAAGCTGAGTTTTTCTTCGCCACTTTTGGCCCGCAGCCCAGGGAAAAAGCAGCCTGTGCGGGGCCCCCCCTCTCTGTCGCCCGGCACACTGATGCACCAGACAATGCACATTTGATTGTCTGGAATATTTGAT